CAATTAGAGGTTCTTGGGTTAACAAAAAAGTTTGGAACCTCGTGTTTTCATTTCTATGTAATTCCTTGTTTACGTTTACATATATTTAAAAACGTAAACAAGGAATTACATAGATATACCACACTTATTCAAAAAATATTGTTATAATACATAATACTCAATGGTGTAATGTTTGGATATAAATTTTCTTTTTTGCAGGAACTTATAAAATATTTGATGGAATGGCTATTACTGTGGCAGCTTCGGTGGTGTTCGCAGTTTTGGGTTTCTAATAGCAAAGATTATTATGTTTGCATTAATGTTTCATGTTTATGTTTTTAATTCAATCGTTTTAAGAATTGTTTATTTTTGCGTGGCAGGACCGTTTTAATATTTTCGGACGTCCTATATCTAAAATGAAAAAAACTATGTCCCTTTCATATTCTTTTTTTTGGTAATGTTAAATAAATCCAAAATAAATTTTGGCTTTATAAAATTTGAGGCCGAAACCATGGTTTATTCTACGTATGCTCTGGATCAGAGATACATGTGGGGCTGGACAACAAAGTGAAATGACAAACATTTAGTAGCTAGTAATTAATTCTGAAACTTCACCTTAACCATTAATGTGATATTCATCCGAAAAAAAACAAAACAAAAACTTAAGTTCTGCAAAATATAGTTATCATTGGAGGTGATTTTCCGGCTTTGAAAAGACAACTAATAATAGCTTCCAGGCCCCCTTCAAGGTTGTTAGACTCTGTTTATAATAACATCAAATACATCATCACAAGAAATTTCCATATTGATAAATTGATCAAACCGGACTTAGCTTACATACTTACAAGTTTCTTATTAAAAAAAAAACAAGGTTAGTTGATGTGTAGAAGAAAGCAAGCTGCATAGAATAAAGTTACCGTGATAGTATTCTTCATCGCTTTCTGTTAAGAGATTTTACTGACGATGAAAAGCCAGCGATAGGTCTTTTAGAACCTAAGATCCAAAAAGAAACACATAATGAGTTTTTAACTTGAAAGATCCAATTTCCTTTAAGCATCAACCTCTTAAGGTTTAGACAATATTTCATCACATCTTTGATTACGTGGGCAAAATACCCGAAACAAAATTCATCGATTCGAACATTAACCAAATTTTATTATAATATGAACTATATAGACATTTTTATATCAAACTAACGGGCCAAACTAACCGAACTAAATCAAAATTTTTATCAACCGAACTAAATTAACCAAAATTTATAATAAAGGAATACATTTAAAATACTACAAAATCTATAATATTTATTATAATTAATTAGTTACCTTTATTTTTATTATAATATTTTATTTTTTAAAAAATCGATATGAATCTGCATCCGAACCAAATTAAAATTATTTTGCGAAACCTGGAAAAACTCAAAGCTAAGTAAACCAAAAAAGAAAATCTAATGCCGAACTCTATTCTTTACTTTACAAGTAGAAGAGAAGCTTTGGTGTTAAGGACAAATGTATACGAAGAGTTTATAGTGAAGTTACTTGTTAAAGCCTTAGGGGAGGAGGTGGTGGAAATCGACAGGCGAGAAGGTCTGGTTTGGTCTGTTTTTGTTGTATGCTTGAGTAACTTTGATGGTCCAACATTAGCTCTGGAATTAGTAGATAAACAATGAACACTAAACACAATTTAACTCTTATTTAAAAGTATGATTCAAAAGTGAGAATAATTAGAATATAAACTCACTTTTCATTTTGTTCAGATTGTTCAAACATTTCAGAAGGATTTGAGGTTTCAGGGAAGAGTGTCAACTCCATTGCACCGCTACTAACCGTGCCATCGGAATCTGTTCCCAATGAAAGATAACTATCAGAGATATTACTCAATCTTTCCTCATAAATTGACTTATGAATCGTCAAGGTCTAAGAGTTCAATATCCTAAGATATATATTATTGTCTTGAGCCTCACCGGAAAACTTAGACGAAGATGGTCGGGATTCATTTTGATGTCTAAGTTCATCAGCTGAATCTGAAGTTGTTCTTCCGAGTGAACCAGATCCCTGTCTTTGTCTTGGAGTATTTGGTGAAGCTCCTCCTAAAGAATGTCTTCTAGGAGAAGGAGACTCAAACCGTATGCTGCTTAAACCACGTTTTTGTATACCGTTTACGTTCTTAAACTTTTGAAGTTCTTCCTCTTTTTTCGCAATCATATCTTTCAATTTTGATACCTGCATGCAATATCAAGATTTAAAAATAATCAAAATACAAATACATCTAGCTTCATCATTGATTAAACTAGTCTCACATTAAGGTGAAGCACTAAATAAATTTGTGTCATTGTGTGTTTTGTTTATTTTACTTTTTCTTGAATCGTTTCTTGAGGGTCGGATATGGTGTTTAAATCCTAAATGAAATATTATAAGCACCTGTTCCATGAGTTGTCGAACTTCTCGTCCCTCCTTATAGCTTCTTGCTGCACCTAACTCAACACCAGAAACTCTTTCCGCAAATTTCAAAGTACTTACGGTCTCAGCATATGAATCTTCATCAGGATTAATCTGAACAAACATAAGAGTTTTCGCTTGTCCACCTAACCAAAATCAAAACAAAAGAGTTATTATAAAAAGTTGTTACCAAAAAAAGAAAAGAGTTATTATAAAAAAACAATGTCGAATAATTATAATCAAAAAATTCTTGAAAGAGTGTATTATTGATAGTACCTAAAGAATTTTGGAGGACTTGTGTTAGCTTGCTATTTCTGTAAGGTACATGAGGATTCTTATGTGCTAAAGCAAAAATAACATCTCCAAGAGCAGACAATGATTTGTTTATATGTTGAGCTTCTCTGAGTCTCTCCCCGGTTACTTCAGAGCGATCGACTCTCTCACTTCCAGCAAGATCAACCAAATGCAAACTTCCACGCAAGATAGACTCGGTTTTAACATCAACACCACGTACATGAACAGAAAGTACACTGCAAAGAATGGGCCAAAAATATGTCTTAGCTCAATCTAAGTGACAAAACATGTAAATCATGCTCTGGTCTTCTGGTAGGAGAGAACCAAATCCTCGGCTTTTACGGGATTATGGGCCTAAAAAAATTGCAAAAGCAAAGAAAATTATCCAGACCTGTGTGATCTACTGCTCTTTTCATTAAGAGCTGTAGCACCAACAGCTCTGTTCATCAACCCAATATTCATCAATTCAAGAACATCTTCAGTTGATCTTACACAATGCATGCTTGCATCAGGAACTGCGAGGCCATTTGGTAAAGTGGTATTCCAAATCCCAAGTGTATGCAAGTTAAGGAAAATTTTATATTTGAAGATATAAGAAACCATATATAGCGCAAAAATGTTGAATAGTAGATTAGATTATAAGGATATCTTCTATTGGGACCATCCTCAGAAAGTAGGTCACGAACTTGCTCATTGTAAATCTCAACCATTTGAACACCAACTTCATACATCACAGTATTTTGTCTACTTTGAGTTAAATGGAACAAGTCGTTTAAAGCTCGATAGTTTACACCCCAAGCTTGTTCCGAATTTATGCTTGGTCCGCTCTATGTTAAACAAAATGAAAATACTTAAATGTTTGGCACAAATATTAAACTATTAGGAAACCTCACCATTGGGAAATGAGAAGGCACTAGTATATAACTATGGAGTCAATTTATTCATATGCCAATTAGTTTTGAATAAGAAACCATGAAAATGCACAAAAAATATAAAGATCGAAATCAATCATGTGCTTACCATTGTATAAGTTTTTCCGGATCCTGTCTGACCGTAAGCAAATATACACACATTGTAGCCATCAAGAATGGAACGAATCAATGGTCGAGTATCTAAGAATACTTCCTCTGCATAAACAAGATTCAGTGCAAGTCTTTATACAAATATTTAACGTATAGTTTCTTCATATCTAGTAAAAAAAAAAAATTATATTTTCTTCATAATTAGAAAGGTGGAAGAGGCTTAAACCTTGAGTTGATGAAGGGCCAAAGACTTTGTTGAATTTAAATAACCGATGAGTATCTTTAGATTGCTTTAAAGGATTTGCAACCACAAGTTCACCATTCTCACTAGTATACTCTATTGATGTTTGGTTCTTGTTTTGCCCTTGAAGGAACGGTCTAATCCGGCAATAGACTCTGATATTTCCTTTATGCATGAACCAAAAAGAAAATTTGATAATAAAAATCTGGATTCTATTGTATTAGAGATAACTTGGGAAGCTTGCGAATCATCTACTTTGCGAATGTCTCTAATATATAGTGTTAGGACAGTAACAGTATTTTGTTTTTTCATGCAAAAATCATGATCAAGTGACTCAGCGATTTTGACGCCAAGACCAATTTCTAATATTTCAGTGCCAAAACGCGATTACTCATTTTATACCTTTTAATTCTTGCACTTCGTTGTAAAGTCTTCGATTCTCTTCAATGATTACCTGGTAATTTTTTGCTGCATCAGCCACTCCTCTAAGCTTTAAACCTAAGGGGTAAAATTTATAAATCAAAAGGCATGTAAATAGAAATAAAATTCATTGGAGCCAATAAACGCCAAAACAAAAAAAAAATCGATTACAGCAACCAATCAATCTTACCATAGTAATTTACATCTTGGAAATAGTTCTCCCCTGTCTTTAGAACTTCATGTTTTAAAGACATTGAAGTAGCTTTCAACTCCTACAGAATTCACACAACTCAATATTAGCTAAAGAATTACCAAAGCTAATTATGTTCACAAAACTACCAGTAATTAAGTCAATTAACCTGTAAAATTTCTGACTGGTGGTTTATGAAGCTCTTGTATCTTTGCTCTTTCTTCTCCCATCTTTTAGTTTTAGTTTCACATAACTTTTCAAGTTCTTTCGCTTTTTGGGTTGAATCTACTACACGTAATTCAGAATCCTTTAAGTGCTTCTCCAACTCATCTTTCGCTTTTTGAGCATTTGATTCTAAATCTAAAAACTGTTTTTCATGCATATCTTTCACAATTTCAAGCTCTTGCTTTAACTTAGAAAGCTCAGCATTGCTACGCACTTTTTCCCTTTTCAGTTGCAGCACATCTTTTTCTTCTAGCCTTAGCTACAGAGCACAACATCGTACGAAAATTGAAAATTTTAGGTATATTGGCCAAAGTCAAACTACACATACTATAATGAACTCGTAACTACTCGTATCTTTGACCTCTTTAGTTGGCTATACAAACTAGTAAACTCGGCCTAAAACAATGCGTACTACTGAAACTAGGTCAAAAGCTTTTGAATGGTTAAAACCAAACGAATTATGTTTATATGTAATTTGGTTTAAAAGATGCAAAAGTTTCAAGCCGAATGTTTGTTGTTTTAAACCGTGATTTAAATGATATTAAAATTTGAGTCATAAGAATTGGAAATTTGTTTTAGCAAAAACAAAAAATTGGAAATTTAAAAGAAAAAATGGAAACAAAATGAAAAGATATTTGCAACTAGCTAGAGACATAAATTGATAGTTAGTACCTCAATCTCATCTGTTGTACCAGATGCCAAAGTTTCCAATACATTTATTCTTGATCTATATTTTCCTTCGCGGACCCTAAAGAGTATATTTTGCTGCACCAAGCATATGTTATGATTGTGTCAAGAACGCATATGATAATCTAAACAAAGAAAAATATGTAAACGAATCGTACATTCTTTAGATTTTCAGCTTGATTTGAGATCCGTTGTTCCACTACTTGCACAATGCCTCTCAAGATAGATGTAAAAGCCTGAAGAGCAGAGCAGCCAAACAAAAACGAAGATTGAGAAAATAATTTTCATGAAATAAACAATGCAAAATCTTTTCCTTACATGAGACATATCCACATTCATTTTCTGCACGTTTTCGTCAAGAAGCTTATCGAGCATATCAAACAACGACCGAGTAGAAGTATTCTACCAAAGAAAGGAAGACGATTTCTAAATTAGAAGTGAGGGTTAAGGGATTAAGGAAATGAAATCTGAATTAGGAAAGTTGTAACAAAATTAGTGACTTTATTGATATTAGAAAAAAATAATTACTTGTAAACTATTTGATTTTAGCAAGTCCAAAATTTTAGCATGAGATATATTGATTTCAGAGGCTTCCTTAAATTGTGATCCATCATTAAAGTTGCAATCAACTCCCTTTGAATGGTCATCAGGCAAACTCCATCTTCTCCTTGCACAAAGTGTGTTCTTATCATATCCATCATCAGAGAAACTAGCTTTAAGAGACTTAAGAGACTGTAAAACTGGAATCATATCCCCCTACATTGATGGCCATAAATTACGACTCATAATTCTGGATTAAAATTTTGAAAAAAGAAAACGAGAGAGGAACATGAATTATACGAGCAAAATCTTGAGATAGTCAAATTTTCCAGATGCAATTTTGGCATTTGGATTTGCATTTACATGTGAAAAAAAGAGTTCATATTTTAACTTTTTATGTATAGAACAGTTTCAACTTTATCATCGAATATTTTTACA